GTAGGGTAGGGTAGGGTGGGTATAGTCGGTCGGTTGGTCATGAGTTTGTTTTGGGGTTGGGTTGGGTTGGGTTATGGGTAGGGCGTGGGTTGGGTCAGTCGGTCGGTCGGTCGGTCGGTCGGTCGGTCGGGGTTGTGGTGGAGTTGTGTGTTGGCGTTGTGTGGGGTATAGGGTAGGGTAGAGTAGGGTAGGGTAGGGTTGGGTCGGTCGGTCGGTCGATCGGGCGGCCTGGTTCTCACGGACTTCTTTGTGGTTGCTTGGCTCCTCCTGTGCGTCACTTTTTTTTGTCTATATTCTACACGTTTGTGGCGGAGTGTTTTGCGCGTTGTTGTTGGTGTGTGGTTCTTTAAGGCCACTTGTTAAGCTGTCCTTTTTTGGGCTGTCTTTTTCTCAAAAAGGGACAACTGGCCAAAGAACCACTTGTTACGTTGTCTTTTTTTGCATTTTTGGAAATTCGAAAAAGGGACAGAAGAAAAAGACAGCGCCATCCTGTCTCTTTTCGGGCAACTTTGTGACAGGATGGGACTGTCTTTTTTTGTTGCCCTTTTTCTGTCACTACACATGACACTTGCCCACAAACTTGAATATCTCGACGGATGATCCCCGCAAACTCTAACGATATTCGCACGAGTCGTGTCATGTGACTGGTACGGAGTCAGTAGCCTCGGCGATAGACGTAATGTTGTCATTCGGCTGACCAGGCGGACAACCCGATGTGTGCGGCAAACAAGCGGCAAACGAGCCGAAAGAGCCTGGACGCAGCAGCGGTCGGTCTTTTTGGTGCACAGTCAACTTTTGCGAACCCAACTTCTGGGCGACCTATAGCGTCCTGGTCTGTATCAATCACCACACAAGACGAATTAGACGCACAGCTCATGGCGGATACCTTGTCATCGCTGTTGCTTCGGTGTGTGACGAGGGAGCATCGATGAACCAAAGTTGCAACACGGGAAAAAGAACAAAAAATATGCTTGGAGACGCGGCGGGTCATTTTTCCCGCTTGTCCACCACTCTCGCGCTCACAACCT